TTACGAGTAATTACTCGACAACTACACGAGCCTTTATACAAAAAGTTCAGCGTCATTGCGTAAGTCGTAAATTAGGCTAAATTGTACGACTCGACAATATTGGCATTGTCTACTGCGGTGCTGAAATAAGTAAACGACGGAAATCGTCGAAAATTATACAGTGCGGCCAAGTTTATCCGTTTTAATACACTAGTCGAGTGGAAATTTTAGGTAATCGGGCAGGTTCTGAAATTCACTTCCGAGTGAATTTCAACCCCTGCCCATTTGAATTCAAAGTTAACTTGACTCCAATTCACTTGGAAGTGAATTGCAGATCCAGCCGGAATGACGTGAAATTTTCGATACGATTCGACTCTCGAAAAACGACTTGCATTCGACACGACTTTCGCAATGAGGGTGATTGTATAGTATAGCAAAAACTAGACATCGATTTTTAGATAATTATTTTTCAATCGTCGGCCGCTGTGGTGTAGAGGTAAGCAGTGCGCGCTTCCACTCTGCATTGCCTGGGTTCAAACCCTGGTCAAAGCAACATCGCAAAAATATAGAAAAAAGGTTTTTTCTTAACAGCGGTCGTCCCTCGGCAGACAATGGCAAACCTCCGAGTGTATTTCTGCCATGAAAAACAGCTTCTCATAAAAATACAATCGCCGTTCGGAGTCGGCGTAAAACTGTAGGTCCCTCCGCTATGTGTGACAACATCAAGGCGCACGCCACAAATCGGAGGAGAAGCTGGGCCAAACACTAACATATGTGTAAGCGCCAATCTATATATATATATATATATTTTTCAAAATCACCCAATTTTCAAAAAGCCTGAAAAAGCGGGATCGATCTTTTTCCTATCTGAAAAAACCAGAATACAGGCTATCCAGAAAAAGTAGAATCAATGCCGGGCACTAGAACAAAAACACTTTTGAAAAAAAAAAAATTGGAAATAATTAACCCTCTAACCGATAAGACCGTCTATAGACGGTCTTTACATATTTTTAAAAATATCGATAAATAACTGCAATTGTTCTGATTTTAATTAAACGGCATGCAAATCGAATTTCACCCATCAAGCCGTCTCTTTTCTTTTTTGCTAACTTGCGTCCGTTACAAAGTAGTGTCCGTTAATTTGCCGTGTTGGTCGTATTTCGAAGAGAAAATTAAAGAACAAATTTGTGTTACTTATCTCGCAGAAAAAGTTTAATAATAATTGCCACACGTACGGAAAAAAATTATTAGTGCGTGCGAAATATTTTATATTACTACAAAAATATTTAATTTGAGCAATAAGTGCTATTTTCTGTGCTGTGGACATAGTTTTTTGAAGACCGTCTTGAAACGGTCTTGTCGGTTTACGTGAAAATTGTTGTGCATCAATTCACCTAATAGCTCGGTAAGTTGCAATGACTGTTTTTAAAAATGGGTTGCGCCTGTAATAATATTTTGGAAAATCTTTGATGTTTCCAGCAATGGATCACCAAATGAGGAAAAAACAAGGAGATTACGAAAATAATCGCCAGAGGAGAGGAGAGGAGCAAGTTGACGGAGGAGGAAATCGAAGCGTTGATGGCCTCATCTGAATCGGAATTAGAGTTGGACGAGGATTTCGAATTTGATAGTGATGATAGCCTTTTAGATCCAGATTTTCGTCCTGATGATTCAGTGGAAGTAGTGCAAGATGGATTCGATGCGGAAATTTCAACTTGCTTGGGTGAAATGAATCAAGCTGATACCAGTGATGCGTTTATCAATTCAGGGGCCTTTCCAATCGATATTAGCGATTTCGGTGATGTCGTTGAGAGAGTATCACCTTTGGCAGACGACATACCTTCAACATCAGGTCATGCATTTGAATTGCTCAAGAATGATGGCTCAAAGCCAAAGAAAAGGGCACGATCACCCCTTCCAGAACTTGAAGATTATGGTCCAAAATTCAGTTCATCTAATGGCGGTTTCATTGGAACAGGTTCGTAATTGATATTTAGGAAGCCGCTATACCTATGTATGTATGTGTACTTTTTGAAAGGTTTAATGAGTATCAAAAAAGTATACAAAGAATTTTCGAATATTGTCTGAAAAAAAAGAATATGCAGTTACATATTAACGAAGTTGTTTTTTGCGGAAACAGTAAATTGTGAAATTCATTCAAGGACCTGAAAACCCCACTTCAATGTTTTATGTACTTATTCACCGCTGATATATTTCAAACGGTAGCAGCTGAAACTAATCGGGCAGCAGGAAAATTTAACCAAGAAAATATCAACCATCCTTTCTCTGTAAATGAAGTAGAAATTCGGCGGTATGTCGGGATTCTGATTCATATGTCTTTGTATCGCTTTCCGTGTTTAGAAAGTTACTGGAGCAAAAATGATTTCGAACCAATAATTTCAACTATGACATTCAAACGATTCGAAAAAATTAAACGGTTTTTGTGCTTTTCGAATGAGGAGCGACGTGTGAAGAAAGGCGAACCAGGGTATGATCCGTTATTTAGAATTCGACCAATTGCTGAAAAACTGAACGAGCGATTTGACTTGGTACCTAAAACACCAAGATTATGTGTGGACGAACAAATGTGTGCTACTAAGATAAAGCATCATCTACGACAATACATGCCTAACAAGCCCCATAAATAGGGTGTGAAGTATTTTGTATTGTGCGATTCTCACGGATTTTCGTATCGCTTTGAAATATACAATGGAGCCGGCGACAATGTAGTACTACCAGATAATCATTTATTATAAAACATACATACTTATGTGCATAAGTATATTTGACAAACATTTTTAAAAAGCAATTGTTCGTTTATAATGTATTATAGGCATGCCTGATCTCGGAGCAACAGCAAACGTTGTCATTCGTGTATCCCAAACGATTCCGAATTTCGCTAATCATATACTGTACTTCGACAACTTATATACGTCGCTTCCATTATTAGTATATTTACGAGCTCACAATTGTAAGTTGCCGTCAGAAAAAGAAATAGCAAAATACATCCGAGGATATTCAACAGAGTACACAGGCTCTGCTTACGGCATTGATATCACCACTGTATTATGGAAAGACACGAAACCGGTCCGGTTAGCGTCGACATATGTTAGAATTTTACCATTTGCTACGGAGAAGAAGGACTGCGATACTGCAAAAATATCACGTTACGATCGAAAAAGTAAGCGGTATTTGGAGCTAGAATGCCCACAGATCATCAAGGAATACAACAGGCATATGGGAGGTGTTGACCTCATGGATGGACTGATTAGGAGGTATCACATACGGTTGAAAACACGTAACGCCATGATAAAAATATTTTATCACCTCGCTGATATGACCATAACAAATGCATATATACTGCATAGGAGAATCAATGCAAACGTTTCAGTAAATGATTTGCCGTCGTTACCAGAATTTCGTGAATCAATTGCATCTGGCTTATGTAAATATAAACAGAAAAATGTCGGAAGACCGTCAACGGGTGCGACAGTAACTAAATCTGATGTCTGTAGAAGAGCTAAAATACCGACAGATGATGAGCGATATGATAAGTTTGATCATTTTCCAACAATGCTGGGTGTAAACGGAAAGAGAAGGTGTAAGCAGTGCAAACAATCTGATACGCAAATGTATTGCATGAAATGTAACCTCAATTTGTGCATCATGCAAGACAAAAACTGCTTTTTGACATTCCATACACAAAATTAATTTAAATTCTAAGTTTTTATAGTATTTTATATATGTAAGTTTTGATAATCGTTTCAATAAAAAAATGCATTTCCCAAAAATACGTCTATTCAATAGCTATTTTTTATTTTTCGTCTAACCCGATAACCCGATAGTTAATTTCATTTCATTTCATTTCATTTCATTTATTTTAGTCTATGACTTTAACAATCTTACAGACTAGATTACATAATAGGTTAGAATAATAGAAATTATATTAATTATACAATGTTTCAATATTAGATTTAAATATCAATCTCGGCAATGAAAACTCAATATTTACAATTTTTGAGATTTTATTAAACTCTGTGAGGGCTCTATATATTGGTGCTAGAGTAAAGTAATTTGCCTTAACTGGAAGCATATAAAAAGGTAGTTGAAAACGCAAAATTCTGTTTGGAACATTGAAACAAATCTGGTTAAGTAAAACAGGGCAATCAATATATCCATTAACCAGATCATATATAAACATCAGTGACTGGATAAGTCTTCTACTTTCCAGTGATTTTACATCAATAAGCTTACAGAGAGAATTATAGGCCGGTAAAGGCTCAGAAAAGTTAAGCGGCTGTAGGGCAAAGCGAACAAATTTGCGCTGGACTCTTTCAAGCCTACTAGCATAAAGGCTATATATTCGATTCCATATTATAGATGCATACTCTAATTTTGAACGTACCAGCGCATTGAAAAGAGTTTTCCTGGTATAAGGATCTTTGAAATCCTTAGCATATCTACGCAGAAATGCTAAGTTGCTATAAGCCTTCGGGATAACGTAATTAACATGATTTGTAAAAGTGAAACCCGAGTCAAACACAACA